GAATAAAACCCCAAGGAAGCTGCTAAATTTATTTCAGTATGTCAGATGTTCCATATCTAAAGCAAATATCAGTTTAATCAACCCCTGCTAGCAATTAAATTAAGAGGTTTAGAGCAGGGGTGTCAAACTTGTGGGCCAGGTGCATCACGCGCTGGCTCCGCCCCTGCCCAGTTTAGTGAAGGAGAAAAACATCCCAATATGTCACGTGACGACACTGTGATGATGCGAGTTTGACCCCCTTGGTTTGGAAGGAAAATTCCAGGAACCCGAGAAGCTGATCTGTATTACAAAGTGGCTCAAGGAAATTGTTCTTATATTAATTGGAATGTCAGCAGTTAGAGATGGAGAACATTGATCACGGTATTGAGTTTGATGGAGATGAAATCTAATCTGATGAAGGGCATAAGGCTGGTTTATGCAAATAGGGACCATTGGTATATTGTAAAAATACGGTATGCTTCTGTTCAGATGTAGGCAAACACATTTCCTGATTTCTCTTTAAAAGGTTTTAATAAAGGCAATGATGAATAGAATTCCATTGCACATCTTAATTAGGCAAGCCTTGGGCTGTTAAGAAATATCCAATATAAATATGACTACTGTTGCACTTGTTTGTTCCTCCACTTGTACTTTCTTTGTGACAGTAATGATTTAAAAACAAACAAACAAAAAGGGTCCCTGTAATATCTTCTCTACACCCTTCTCCCTAAATTAGAAAAGACATACCCAGGAGCTGGCTGAGATACAGTGTGCTTGTATTATTTTTAGTGAGAAAAAGATGGATTATAATGTTCTCTTTTTTTAATAGGGTCAGGACAGTTGAGGAGGTTTTTCTGTAATGAATTAGAGTTCTTAAGCCGTATGAGGAATCGACCAAACTTGGTATGTCTTAATATCCAGGAAACAATCTGAAGAACAGGAAGAAGAGAAAGTCTAATTACTCTGGAGGAATTTGTGTAATTCTGATTTGTATGTATTGGTTTGCAAACATTAAAATGTGAAAATATTTTTATATATAAAAATCAAGCTCATTTTTCTTTGCTTCTTTCATTCAAATATAAATCAGTGTTGCCTTATAAAGAGTTTATTTTAAATTTGATTAAAGCATATTTGTTGCTATGATTTTACTCTTTCTGTACTGAGAAAAGTGCATCTTAATGTAAAACAATGACTATTTATTTGCACATACTAGAATTTAGGAAAGGTGTAACAGATGATCAAGCAAAAGATAGACAATTTCTCATTCATCAATTTCACATCAGCTTACACCAAATAAGCATTTATTCCAATTGCCTTTGCAATGTTCTTTTCCTAATATGCTATTCCTTGCACTATATTATTAATAAAATCCCCTAGAACAGCCAGGAATCCATCTAGGTTTATTACATTTCAATTCACAGAAGTTAAGACCAAGTACAGCCTAATTTGTATGATAGTTACTCAAGGCCATGAGAAGACACATCATTCACGAGAAAGAACTTTCAAGAAGAAAAAAGCTTTCATTCTAGAGAAGGAAGGGAATTAGAAAAATGCTGCCCTAATTACTTAATAAAAAGCATTTCTGACTTCCGGTTTGTTCCTTGTCGGTGTTGGTGCGGAATCCACAATCATGCGCTGCTTCGCCCAAGCTCTTTTGCTGGTGGGGTGGTGAAGAAGGGGGAAATCTCCTGGGAGGTTGAGGGGAGCTGCAACTCCCCTCCCTGACAGGAAAATCCCCCCCGAAGGCAAGCTGCAGCGAAGACAAAGAACATTCCGGGAAACTAAGTTTTGTGCTGGAGAGAGAAGTAGCAGGCAGAATGTGAACCAGGCAAAGGACATCGCTTTTGAGGTACCCGGTATCAAATTTAAGGGCTATTTTGGAGGGAAGTGTGTGGAAGCGGCAACCAAAGAAAATGAGAAAGAAAATGGGTTTTTAAATTTGGATTTGATTATTTTACTGGACTAATCTGGAGGAGAAATTTAAAGGAAAATACATTAACACAACAAAGGTTTAAAAATTAAACTGGACAGATATTGAATTGTGGGCACTTAAGGGGCATAACTAAATGTTGGAATTGAGTGTGTTGAAAAGAATAGCTAATGAATGAAATTAGCGAACTTAATAAGTTCGCTATATATTACATATTCGCTACATATTCAACAAAGAAAGTTAAAAAGGAAAAGACTCAAGAACGCCACCTGATGGTACAGGAAAACTTTAATATGTTTTAAAACAAGCGTCTGGTCTTTTTGAGACTTTGGATCTTGGAACTTGAAAGAAAATAAAAGGAACTTTATTATTGTCATAGAACCACCCAGTAATTTGGGAAACAGTTGGGAGGCCAATTAGAAGATTTGGAATAAAGATTCAAGAGTATGAATTGTTGAAAATAAACTCAAAAGATATTGGCTGAAATAAGATACTGGACTCTGGATTGAATATATCTATCAAAGAAGAGGATTTCAACTATTAAGGAAGAGGAAAGAAAGAAAAAAAGGAGAAGATATAATGGAGGAGCTACTTGTTGATATAAGACTGGACTTACAAGACATAAGATCGGATATGCAAGATACAAGGGACATAAAAATTAAACTTGAAATATGTATGTATTACAGAAATTAGAAATGGTGACTCAGCATATACAAGAACACAATAAACCAGAGGGGGAGGAGTTCTATAAAGAAGAAGCCAACTTAGAACAAAAAGACGAACAACAATTATTCAAGCAGAGGGGAAAAGAAATTAGAATTAAAAATTTGTGGTCTGATGGGATGATATGTTTTGGAAAATGGTTAAAGAGAGGGAAAAGCAGAAAAAGGAAGTGCAAAGGAAAAATCAAAAGAGGGAGACAGAAAAGTTTAATAACTGGAATGAGAAAAGGAGGGGAATAAGAATGGGGGGGAAAGGGAATTAAGGACCAGAAAAGAAAGAGGAACAGGAAACAAACAAGGATGAAAAGAAGGTACATTGTTCAAAGAGTGAGAGATAGCAGGAAATACGACTTCAGCAATAGAGTGGTCAATGTCTGGAATACTCTACCCGACTCTGTAGTCTCTTCCCCAAACCCCAAAAACTTTAACCTTAGACTACTATTGACCTCACCCCTTTCCTAAGAGATCTGTAGGGGGCGTGCATAAGCGCACCATCGTGCCTACCGTCCCTGTCCTATTGTTTCTCTTATTCTTTTATTTTTCTTATATGTACCCATTTCATGTATTCACAACTATGTATACACTTATACTTATTATCTTGTAAACAATTGGCAAATCAAATAAATAAATAAAAATAAATAATGGGTGAAAAAAAAAGGGATAAGGAAGGGGATTCCGCAAGATAATATTTTTGGGATGTATAAGAATATATTGAAAATAGTATTTTGTAATGTATAGATGATTCATAGAGAAAATATAATGCAGAATCTGAGAAAAATATATTTGTGTTTTATACTAGATAGGGAGATTGATATTAAGGAAGAATGAAGGTGGTTGGCTCAAATTATTAACTAGAGGGGACAACTATGTTTACAGATAAGGATTGATAAAATGACAAATGTGACAAAAATAATATGAGAAATAATAGAAAGGAGATGAGAATTTTAGATTAATATTGTAAAATAAGATGAGAATATACTAAGAAAAATGGAATGAGATATATTAGATTTGGAATTGAATAAATGAATATAGAATTGAGATAAGAATTTTAGATAATATTGTAAAATAAGATATGAGAACATGAATTGGAATTGGATAAGATAAGCTTAATATTTAATAATGACAAGAATGATGCAATATGAAATTAAATAAATAAAATGAGTAGGTAACTATGGTCATGTTTGTATTGAGAGGTAAAACCTGGAACCACACTGCCAAATGAGAATTTTTCATTTAAAAAAAATAAAATGAAAACGGAGAAAATTGAATAATGGTATTATTAGGTACCGTATATGCCGGCGTATAAGACGACCCGGCGTATAAGACGACCCCCCAACATTTCCAC